ACTGAGTGTCACTGTAAGAGTTCCCGAGAACTCTAAGTTAAAAAGCAGGTATCTCTGAGAATTCCTGCCTTTGCATTTTGTTTATATTTGCAACATAAACTCTAAATGAGAAAGAAATCTATAAATTATAATTCAGAAGAAATACTCTAATCAGAGGAGCATTCCTCAAAGGGACCCAGTTATTTGACCAACACTGTTTCTGCCCTCCCTTCCTGAGCTCAATTCCCAGGAATGTAGGTGTTCACAGCCCAGTGTCTCCCACTGTCCCCTTCTTGGATTCCACTCCCCTTGGCCTTGCCCAGGTCTTCTGCACCTGGTTAAGGGTTAAGTAACAGAAAGGGCTCCATACATTGGTTTCCTAGCCTATAAAATGAGGTTAACTGCTCACCTCACCTGAATGTTGAAGGAGTTACATTTGGTAATCACTTCCAGGGACCAGGGTGGTGCCTGGAGCACAGTCTGTTCACTAGGTGCCAGCAACCATCCTCCTGCTGGCCAAGTGCTCCAAGTTCCAGGATCAGGCATCCCACAACATAATGGGCACTTCTGCCTTTTCCTGTTCTTTACAGAAATGCTGATCTAAAGATGCCAATGTATGCAGATGGTGGACAAGTGCACTGAGACAGCTTCTGGGGGAGGGTCAAGGCTGTAAGCATGGGGTACTGGAGAGGCAACCTAAGATAATGATAACAGTGACTCAGGTGTCTTCTGGGTAGCTTTCTCGAGTAAGGTTTATGATGGTCCCATATTGCAACAAGTTGAACATCCAACATCACAGCAATAATCAAGGGATGCTATATTTATATAATGAGAAAATGCTAAATGAATAATTTTGAGGGGAGAAATGTCTTTGTAAAGAGAATTGGGACAGGCCACAAGATACTATGTAGCTGCTAAGAAAATTAAGTGGCTCTCTATACATGAAACAGAAATACGAAATACCTAGAAAGCAGGCAGAAAATAAAGGGAAGGGCAATATAGAATATGCTCATCTAACAGGAAAAAGGGAGAGTTTGAACACCTATTTGTATTTACTGGCTCACATATAAAAACTGTAGATGAATACAAAGAAATTGTTTATAGCAGTTTCCTGAGGAGAGTTGGCAAGTGGGAAGAAAACACAGAGCAAGAGGAAAACTTCACATCTTTTTAACCATAAACATATTTTGCATATTAAACTGTTCTTAATTTTTTTAAAAAATCACATTAGGAGAAGTAATTGGATGTTAACATTAAGAATATTTTTTGCTAGGAGAATGAGGGATAATTCTTCATTTTCTTTTTTATAATTTTCCAAATTTTCTTCAACATGTTATATGTTACTTTTATGATCAGAATATTTTGAAAGGAGAGAAAAAATGTTAGATTCTCTTCCATCTCATACTTCATTAAACACACAAACAAGAAACACAACTCTTTAATTTAGCTCAAAATATTTTTTAATTTCTCTGGAGATTTCTGCTTTGACCCATGTGTTATTTAGAAATATGTTGTTTACTCCCCAAAAATTTTGTGGTTTTTCCAGTTTTTCTTTTTTTTTTTTAAGATTTGTTTATTTATTCATTTATTTGTTTGTTTGTTTATACATACAAGCACTGGGTACAGTCAGAAGCGCGAGAGGGTGAGAGAATTCACCAGAGCCAGAGCGGGGAGCAGAGCAGGCAGAAGGACTGAAGTACACTGCTGAGGGGAGCAGCGGGCAGCAGGAGAGGTCTGCGCGCCAGGTGGGACCTTCCTCTGGTGGCCAGGGAGCAGCCGGGATCGAACCGGCGCCGCATAGGCTGCCGGCAGCTTCGCAACTCAGCGCTCAACCACTGCACCAACAGGGAGGCCCTTTTCCAGTTTTTCTGTTATTGATTTTTAATTTAATTCTATAGTGGTCTGAAACTACACTTTAAATAAATTTCTATTCAACTTTCTTTCCTATTCTATTAACAAAGTTCGTTAAAGTGTATTTGATGGCCCAGAATGTTGCCAATCTTGGTGAATATTCCATGTGAGCTTGAAGTAGTCTATACACCCAGCTGACTGATGGTTATGTGAGTCCAACTATGTCCTGGTTTTCTGCCTGCTGCATCTGCCAATGTCTGATTGACAGGTGAAGTCCCCAACTATGATAGTGGATTCACTGTTGAGAGGAGCAGTGGTATTGGAACAAGAACAGACACACAGACCAATGGAATTGAATAGAAAATCCAGAAATAAACCCACAGATTTATGGTCAACTAATCTTTGACAAAGGAGCAAAGAATATGCATTGGAGCAAAGAAAGTTTGTTCAATAAATGGGGTGCTGGGAAAACTGGGTTGCTACATGCAAAAGAATGAAGCTTGACCACTACCTCAAACCATGCACAAAAACCAACTCAAAATGGATTAAAGAACTAGACATAAGACCTAAAACCATAAAATACATAGAAGGAAATATAGGCAAAACACTACATGATATGCACATCAAAGACATCTTTACAGACTCATCACCCAAAGCAATGATAGTGAAGGCAAAGATAAACAACTGGGACTACATCAAATTAAAGAGCTTCTGTACAGCAAAAGACACAGTAACCAAAACAAAGAGACACCCCAACTGACTGGGAGAAAATTTTTGCACACAACCCTAATGATAAAGGACTGATCACAAAAATCTACAAAGAGCCGATGAGATTCAACAAAAACAAAGTAAATCCAGTCAAAAAATGGGCAGAAGAGCTAAAAAGAAACTTCTGAAGAGGAAATGCAAATGGCCAACAGGCATATGGAAAAATGTTCAACATCACTTGTAATCAGGGAAATGCAAATCAAAACTACCATGAGATACCATCTTACACCAGTGAGAATGGTACATATTAAAAAAACTAGCAACAACAAATGTTGGCGAGGATGTGGAGAAAAAGGAACTCTCCTGCACTGCTGTAGGGGGTGCTAACTGGTCCAATCACTATGGAGAGCGCTGTGGAGATTTCTTGAACTACTAAACATAGAGCTTCCATTTGATCCAGCAATTCCACTCCTAGGTATTTACCCAAAGGACACAGAATCATTAATTCAAAATGGCACCTGCACCCCTATGTTTACAGCAGCACTATTTACAATAGGTAAGCTATGGAAACAACCCAAATGCCCCAAAATAGATGACTGGATCTATGGTACATATACACAAGATGTGGTACATAAACACAATGGAATATTACTCAGCAATCCAAAAAGATAAACTCATGCCATTTGCAAGAACATGGGTGGAGTTGGAAGGGATCATGCTCAGTGAAATAAGCCAGAAAGAAAAAGAAAAATTCCAGATGGTCTCACTTATAGCAGGAATTTAGAAAACCTAAATAAGGGACCAGGAAAAAGACTAATTACAATAAAGTAAAGAACAAAATAAACAAGCAACTATAAACCAGAGACACACTGGAGGAGCGAGAGGGGGCGAGTAGGATCAAAACAAGGGTGGTGGGAATTGTATCGGGACTATAATCAAGATGAAAATGTATACATTGTGCAAAAATGAAAAATGATGTAAAAGTATATAAAATAAAAAAAATTTTAAAGAATGTATTCTCCCACAGAGTTCTAAAAACCAAGTCAAAAAACAAGGTGTGGGGCCTCCCCCGGTGGCGCAGGTGGTTGAGTGTAGTGCTATGAAGCTGTCCGCAGCCTCTGAAGCGCGGGTTCGACACCAGCCGGCTGGAGAGGGTCCCACATGGTGCAGCAGACCCCTCCTGTTGCTCCCGCTGCTCCCCTCAGCAGAGTATTTCATCAGTCTGCCTGCTCTGTTCCCTGCTCTGTCTCTGGTGAATCCTCTCACCCTCCCACGCATCTGGCCTGTACCCCGGTTCGTGTATAAATTAAAAAAAAAAAAAAAAAAACAAGGTGTGGATAGGACTGTACTTCTCTGAGGGCTCTGGGAAAGAATCCGCCCCTGCCTCTTCCAACCCTTCCTTAGTGGAAGACTCATCACTTCAACCTCCGCCTGGATCTCTCCATGGCCTTCTCCTCTTCTCCCCATTGTCTGTGCCTTACCATCCTGTCTCATAAGGACACTTGCACTAATCCAGGCTCACTGCACCTTGCTAATTAATTTTATTCATTAATTTAGTTAAGGAGGTTCTTAATTATATCTGCAAAGACCCTGTCCCTACATCAGGTCACATTCATAGATTTCACCTATCCAATCTACTCCTATACCATCCAACCCTACATTCAAACCATAATCCCTTTAAAGTTGCAAAGCCACTGGAGGGTTTTCCTCTTACAAGAGGAATTTCATTATTAATTCACCATTCTATATCAACTAACTTCCTGTATAAGCCAGAAGTAATATCACAAAGTTGGGCAGGCAGCAGACTGATTGGGCGATAAGTATAGATGTGTATTACATGAACACTAATTCAAAGGACTGCAACTTTCAAAAGTAGGGGTGCCATGTTAGCCACCTTCACCACCCCCTTCCAGATTGCCAGCTGACTGATTAAAGTGCACCTTAAAAATTTAAAAAAAAAATAAAAAGGCCTCCCTGGTGGCACAGGGGTTAAAGTCTCAGTGCTATCACGCCATTGCCAGCCACTGCCAGCATGAGTTCGATCCCTAGCCTAGTAGCTGGCCCACATGGTACAGCAGACCACTCCTGTCTCGCCCACTGCTCCCCTCAGCAGAGTATTTCAGTAGATCTGCCTGTTTACTCTCCACTCTGTCTCTGGTCAATCTTCTCACCCCTCCTCCCCCTGCACCTCTGGCCTACACCCCAGTTCTTACATGCAGAAATAAAATAAATCTTTAAAAAAAAAAAAAAAAAGAGTGAAGACAAACATTCACACTATCACACAACTATTCTTTGTCATAGGAACTGGGACAGTGTTTTACACAAGGTAAGACCACTTCAAAAACAAGACAAAACACAAATAATCACTGTGGCCAAGTCACACGGCTAACTCTGGGGGGTGGCTGATCAGGGAGCTCATCCACTCTGCACAGCGCATGACAACCACACAGCACCTCACTCACCTTCAATGTAGAGGGGCTCCACCACATCGTGGTTAATCAGCTCAAAGTTCTCGTGGCCAATCCAGTGCTCCACATTTCTTTTTCTGCCAGTGAAGAAGTTGTCTACCACCGTTACTTCATGGCCATCCATCATGAGTTTATCGGTGAGATGGGAACCCACAAACCCTGCTCCTCCAGTTATCTGCAACAGGACAACGTGTAAAACACTTCCAGAAAAAGCACAAGAGAACATGGCAACAACTGACTTCAAGGAGACAAGTCTTTGGTCCAGCTGCAGGTTTAACAAACTCAGGAGCAGGGGAAGGAAGAGGACAGTAAGGGTTTTAAAGCAACATCTTCACCTTTTTTTTTAAAAGATTTTTAAAATTTACTTATTTTTATACAAGAACCGGGGTACAGGCCAGATGTGCGGGAGGGTGAGAGGATTCACCAGAGACAGAGCAGGGAACAGAACAGGCAGACTGAAGAAATACACTGCAAAGGGGAGCAGTAGGCAAGACAGGAGAGGTCTGCTGCGTACAGCTTCACAGCGTGGCACTCAACTGGTTGCCTGCGCCACCAGGGAGGCCCTTTTTTTTTTTTGTAAGATTTTATTTATACAAGAACTGGGGTACAGGCCAGAAGTGCAGGAGAGTGAGAGGATTCACCAGAGAAAGAGTGGGAAGCAGAACAGGCAGACGGACCGAAAGCACTGCTGAGGGGAGCAGCAGGCAAGACAGGAGTGAGACGAGAGGTCTGCCGCACCATGTGGGTATCTCCCTGGCTGGTCGGGAATCAAACCTGCACTGCAGAGGCTGTGGACAGCGTCACAGCGCTGCACTCAACCCACTACACCACTGGGGAGACCCACAACATCTTCACTTTTAAGCCAAAGCAAGAGAGCATATTACCTGTAAACTTCTAAGCGGCCTAAAAATTAACCTTCAGTAAATAATAAAAACAGCAGTTATAGGTTTTAACAGGCTGTCTTTGACAGAATCTTATATTATTATGTTTTACAATGGATGGATCACTGGCCATCACTTATATGCTAAGTTAGAATTATATTTATTAAAAAGTGGTTAGTAGGGCCTCCCTGGTTAAAGACAGTGCTGTCAAGCTATCACCAGCCACTGCAGCACAAGTTTGATCCCCAGCCAGCCAGGATGCAACCCACAGCAGACCTCTCCTGACTGGCCCACTGCTCCCCGCAGCAGTGTATTTCAGTAGATCTGCCTGTTCTGCCCCCCACTCTTTCTGGTGAATCCTTTCACCCCCCGCACCTCTGGCTTACACCCCAGTTCTTGTATGCATAAATAAATCTTAAAAAAAAAAAAGTGGCTAGTAAAATGCGGAGATTTGGTGAACTACCCAAAGTATGTGATACTTAAACTGGACTCAAACACCTCACAGAAAACTAGTATCTTTCAAATTGCTTATAAAAACAAATCAAAAAGCAACAGATGCTATTTATAGACAAAAGGCCTAAATGATTAAGTTCCACTGTTTGGTTAATGTATGAGCAGGCATGTGACCCAGTCAGGTAAACCACGAGTGATGCAGCCATGAGGGGTTTATGTGGGGTGTACAGCAAAAATGTGCTCCCAAAACTCAAATCATGGGCCTCCCTGGTGGTGCAAGGGGTTAAGCACCACACTGTCCGCAGCCTCTGCAGCACAAATTCGATCCCCCAGCTGGCCAGGGAGCAACCCACATGGTGCAACAGACCTCTTCTGACTCACCTGCTGCTCCCCTCAGCAGTGTACTTTGGTCAATCTGCCTGTTCTGTTCCCCACTCTGTCTCTGGTGAATCTTCTCACCCCCCGCATCTCTGGCCTGTACCCCAGCTCTTGTATGCATAAATAAATAAATCTTTAAAAAAAAAAAACAACCTCAAATCATAACAAGTGGGAAAAGTTGATTGTGTTTGAAAAAAACACTTTTTAGCTGATAAAATAACTATTCAAATTAAGTGACCGAATTAGAGAGAACTAGGTAAGTGTTTGGAAGGTAGGCGTGAAAAGATTAAACTCAGAAAACAAATGTGCCATGTGAAACTGTCACTGCTGTTCTGTCTGTTCTCTGTCCCACTCTGTCTTCTCATCCTCAGTCAAAACCCTCATTAAGCTCTCCTTCCAAACTAAAAGAATTAAGAGAAAAACAATTCTTTTCACCTAAAATAAAGAGCATAGAAACGCCCAGGGCTACGGCTTTGAAATATTTAATTTGCCAAGATGGGAGTCGAGCAAGAAGATGGAAGAGTGGAGACACTGGGCTCGCCTCCCACACATACAACTAAATTGGAGTAAATCAAAGCCAAAACCCCTGAGGGGAGACAGGGGCCTCTCGAGTACACGCTAAGAGCAAAGGTCTTAGGATAAGTGAACTTTGTTGACTGTGCTAATGGGACAGCATGATAATGGGGCAGCTGTACTCACAAGTGGGAGGGGTGGCTGAGTGTGCTGAGCACCCTAGTATTACTGGGCACTGGAGAAGGGGGTTCATGAGTTGGCACCTAGAACAGAGGGTGCACTGTTGGAGAGCTGCAGGGGTAGGAGGGCAGAGTGAGGACCACTGTCCTGAGCTTGAGGCTCTCAATCTATTGTAGAATATCCAGGGTCCTAATCTGCAGGCAACACAGTTCAAGCACCTGGTTTTCCAACAGAGCGGCAGCTCCTGGGAGCTCAGGTGGAGAGAGTCAAAACACCTGCCACCCCACCCCAGGGCTAAAAAAAAAAAAACAAAAAAAACAAAGAAATGTTGAACAAACTAGAGTTCCAGCACCTGTCAATAATAGCAGCAAACACCCCAAGCTAAGGCTCCAGCAAATTAGCACTCTGCTGGAAAAGAGAACTACTCCCCGTCTGTCCCCCCTATCTACTACAAACTGTGCAGTACAGCACATAGTGCTTAAATGTAGCTGAGAGTGGGGACCTCCCTGGTGGCGCAAGGGGTTAAGACACAACCTATGAAGCTGTTCGCAGCCTCTGCAGCTCGAGTTCAATCCCTGGCCTGCCAGGGAGCAACCCACATGGCACAGCAGACCTCTCCTGTCTCGCCCACTGTTCTCCTCAGCAGTGTGTTTCAGTCAGTCTGCCTGTTCTGTTCCCCACTCTGTCTCTGGTGAATCCTCTCACTCCCACACCTCTGGCCTGTACCCCAGCTCTTGCATGCATAAATAAACCTTAAAAAAATGCATCTCCATTAAAAAAAAAAAAAGTAGCAGAGTGGAAGTAGACATGATACTACCAAGACAGAGATGCTGGTCTGGAGGAGGGGGGCACTGGATCTCCTCCACACAATACTGGCCCCCACCGCACAGTAGGAAGCTCAAGTTCCTGTGTTTACTGGAGATGGTTCCTTCATGCCTTACTAGCCTTGCCCTCTTTTATCCCTACTAACACTCTGTGCCAGGCCTCAGATTACTCCAGAGATGAAAAGACAACAGTCTGAAAATCTATTCCTGTTATAAACCATTAAAAAAAATTAAGAATGAGAAGACCGAAGTACATATCACAAGTGCTAGAGAGGAAAAAAATGCTGAAAAGAGTCCCAAAGCTGCAGACCATATCAGAGAGGAGCTCAAGGTAACAGTTCAGACCACTCTTATGGATGTCAACAAAACAGTAATAGTGGAAGATAAAAAACAGTGGGATAAAGAAAATATGAGGCAGTTACTATTGGGAATAACAGAGTTAACAAACAATATAGCTGATTTGAAAAATACAACCGAGGGCCTAACAACAAACAGAAGGATGGAGAGAATTAATGTGATCGAAAACACAATGCTGGAAAAGACCAAGCAGGAAATGTAGAGAAAGAGAGTGGGGGAAAAAAAAAAACAAAACTGTAAGTCTCCTGAGGGACCACTTAAGGACAAATAATATCCATTGCCGTGGACTAGCACAGCAGTGAACAATGAGGCCGTCTCGGGGTTGAGAGACTGCGCAGGGTGGTCAGGGATTTGGCTAAAGAAATGACAAACAGACACACTTCAAGGGAGAGTGTAAATCTGAGTGCACTTTGAGTCAGTGGTCAGTATATATATGTTTTCTAAAGGCATAGAAACAGTGAACATCAACGCAATCAGCTTGCTCATAGGTTTAGCTTATCATTGACAGGGCAGTGATCTATGTCCAAAATACATCTGGACCTAGCCGCATTCCTAAGTAGACAGGCTATTAACTCTTTCTTTTGTTCTATGTAATTATATTCTTGTTGTACTAACTACTACTACTACCTACTCATTTTTACTCATAATTAATTGTCATGGGTGAATTTATATTATGATGCAGTTAATATCAAAGATACTAAAGTCAAGCACATAATAGAAAGATTATTAAACCAACAATTCTATTATAACACAGTGTTTAGTAATGTTTCATTTGCATTAGCCAAATTATTAAATTACGTATGTTTTTTAATTAGCAATCAATGACCAGAAAAAGGAAAGATTTTAGAAAGACGGTTGTAGCAGAATAAAGTTTGTGGGCCTTGAGAAAGCGAGATAAGGTTCCAGGTGGTCAGCATTTCTTTTAACCATCTTTGTGGCGGCTTCTGGTGGTCGTTATCTCTTGGCAGGCATTCGGCTTCTCTGCATCTTAGGGAGTTTGCTGTTCTCCCCCTGCGCGCATGGTTCCTTGCCCACGCCGGACCTCAGGGACCATGGCAACAGCCATTAGCCCTGAGGGTCACTGCAGGGGGAGGTGCAGCAATCCATTCCATGGGGGTACCAAAAGAAGAGGGAAAAGGCACAGAATTTATTTTAAAAAATAATTGCTAGAAATGATCTTAATCTGGGGCCGAAATCAGACAGCGTGATCTAAGAGGCCCAAAGAGTTTCAAACAAAATAAGACCACACAAATACACACCAAGACACATTATAATAAAGTTGTTCAGTGGCGCAGTGGTTCAGCACTGGGCTTGCTCGGCTGCTCGCAGCCTTTGCAGAACCAGTTCATTCCCCAGCTGCCGGCGAGGGTCCCACAAAATAAACAAACAAACAAACAAAAAAGTCAGGAGAAAAAAGAGCAAATAATAAGAGAACACCAATCAAAAAAGGACTGCAGAAATGCAGTGTGTTAAAGTACACACAATTGCTTCTAGTATTTCGCTAGTTTTAGTAGCAACATAGGACCTGGGTCTTGACTAAAATGGATATGAATTGCTTTTTTCTTGAATAATTCCTTTCTATCTAGACT